CAGGAGTATTTACAGAGTCAAGCTGAAAGCGGCCAAATTGAAGACTGATAGAGGTAACAGAGGTATTACGAAACCAGGTAATGATTTGGTAATTCTTACTGTCCCATTCCTCAAGTCGGTCTTCATATGTAGCAGTATGAACAGGAGTTTCAGTAGTGGCACTGTCTTTTACTGGTTTAGTCACATCGACAGGAAGAAGAGAGAAGGAGAGCGCGAGTAGTGTCAAGAATATGCCTATGTTTCCGTTCAGCGCGGCCATTTTGCTGGGACGTGCCAGCACAAGAACGATGAGGCAGTGTACCATGATGCTGAAGAAAGGAAAGGAAATCTGAATCCCGATATTCCATAGCATTGTCAGAGTGAAAAATTTTGATGGATTTGAAGAATTGGGTGTGGACCATTTGTGCAAATCGATAATAAATGTGTTTAAGTTCAGACCTATTTTTCATGAGAAAAAGCCAAGTAAACTGGGAAAAATCATCAATAAATACAACAAAATAGCGAGATCTCCCCATAGTAATAGTAGGGGAGGGCCCCCAAATATCCGAATGTATAAGATCAAAAGGTGCAAGGGAAACAGAAGTACTTTTATTAAATGATAAAGCAGGTTGTCGGTGCTAGAGCGGGCAGTGAGGGATTGTTTTTTGCTACGCCAAGCAAGAAGAGAATCCCCTAAGAAGAAACAGAAGCCCGTGGTGGAGCGTCGATCCGTAGGATCCCCAGCCCAATCAGCATCAGAAAAGGCACGGAGGTCAAGAGAGGAGGAAGCAGAGAAGTGAAGACCATGGAACATAGTGCCTTTGAGGAAGTAGATGCAGGAGCAGCGATCTGAGGAGAGTCAGGAACATGAAGGTAAATGAGCTCATAGAGACGTCTGTGCTTACGGCCGATCCCAATAGTCTGCCCTGTCTGAGGGTCCTGTACCAAACAATCAATAGTAGAAAATGTGACAGTTAGACCAAGTTCACATAATTGACCAATGGAAATAAGGTTTAAGGTAAGAGCAGGGATATGATAAACGTGAGGTATAGATAAAGAAGAGGTGGAAACAGTACCATCATGACGGACAGACATGAGGGCACCATCAGTAGTATGTATTGGGGGAATATGAGGAGATGAAGATAAGGAAGAAAAGATAGTAGAACTGGAGGTCATATGATTACAACAGGCAGAGTCAAAATACCAAGAAGAGTTACCTGGGATTACAGACAAAGCAGTAGGAGGAGGTGTACCAGATGGGGAGAGAAGTTGTTTGAGCATGGCCTCTACATCCGTCAGAGAAAAGCGAGGGGTAGATGGAGCAGGTGACTCAGAGAACCCTGCAGAGGTAGTGTCAGTGTGATGAGACTGATTCCCGGAGGCAACAGCAGCAGTGTGATGAGACTGACTCCCGGAGGCAGTAGCAGCAGTGTGATGAGACTGGTTCCCGGAGCGATGAAAGCTTCCCCGGGAAGAGCCACCGCGAGAGGAGTGGCTATTGGAGGATGAGCGGGATGGATTGCGAAAACAATCCTGTTGCAGATGACCAGGACCAAGTTTGTTGCAGTAGCGGCAGGATCTGACGGGGCAATTGACCAGGAGATGGGTTGAAGGAAGGCCCCGATTCTGACAATAGAGGCAAGCAGTGGTCCGCTGGGTAAATGATGGCCGGGACGGAGGAGTGGCAAGAACAGAGTCCACATGATGAGTTTGAAGAGTTCCGAGACGAGTCTCCTCTGATAGTAACTCAGAAATTGCCTGTTCAAGAGTGGGCAATGGATGGCGATGAAGCAGAGAGGCACATACGGGCTCAAAAGATGAGGTAAGAGCCATGAGAAATTGTACCAACCGTTGCTGGTTGCGATAGAGAGTAAATAAAACGGCATCTTCGGGGTCATGCCAGGCTGGTTCTGAAAGAGCAAGCTGATCCCAAACAGAGTACATTTGAGAAAGGAAGTCATTAATGGACTGAGTGGATTCTTGGCGCATGCGGTGAAGTTGGTTCTGAAGTTGATATTGATGGGCAAGACCAGTAGTCTGGTATCGTTCTTTCAAAAAATCCCAAAATTACATACAAAGAAACCACCGAATTTGATCAGACACTTTTGCTCCTCCACACAGCCAAAGCCACCAAATTGAATCAAATCTATTGTATTAAGCCACTGCCGCCACAGACCCCAAAAACACACAAAACAATATATATATAGTTAAATCTTGAGTTTGTTTTATCAAACCTTAGTTGTTATCAAATTGAATTGGGTCTCCATAAATTAGATATAATATATAAAATATATTATTATATCTAAACCAACCCAAATTAAAATTCTTTTAACAAATCAATTGAGTCTCAAATTCTAATACGAAGATGTACCCCAACATTTTGTTGGCCTAATTGGTGTCTCTGATGATTCTTTTTGTTTCTCTCTACTTCCACTCTGTTACAAACAAACAAGAGGTTAAAACTAAAAAGTTCAAATCAAACAAGAAATAAAAAAAAGATACAGAAATAGGAGGACTAGGTTTTGAGACAGACATGGAGTGAGGAAATTTTTGCTAGCAATCTCCTGGAGAGTTACGGGATTTTTATATGGAAGATTTATTAGAAAATGTATGGCAGTTGGTAAAGTTTTCTAACTATGATTTAAGAATAGGATTTGTATTTTGAGTTTGTGAGTTTTAGAATTATGATTTGAGTGTAAAAATTTTGTTTAGTAAATGAGTTTTGAAAAGAGTTTTGAATTAGATAGGGAATTTTTGTTGTGACATATGATATTTGATACAAAAACTTACAATTCATAATCAAACACATAACTCAAAATTCTATTAAAGCTCATAAAAAATTTTAAAAAATTCAGAAAATATTTTTTGTTGAATATATAAAAATTAACATGTGTCAATTGTTAAAAAAAAAAAATTACTGTTCCAGTCAACCGGTAGGACGATCGGTTAGTCCAAATTTTCTTGCCTTCGACTAAGTTTTCAAAAGTGAGTATGGAATTAATTTTTGAAAGCTGAAAACAAACATCATAAGCAAATCAAAAAGTGGAACTAAAGTTCCAAAACCCTTCCAAACACAGCCATACGATAGTCTTGTGTTTTAATAAGTGCTATTATTTTGAACATTTGATTTATTAAATTTTAATTCTCATATTTAAAGTATTTTAAAGATAATTTACCCTTACAAAAATGTTTTGAATACTTAATAAGTTGGTAATATGAACATTTATATTAAATAAGTTTGATAGTGTGAATGTTTCATGATGTAAACATTCATATTGTTAACTTAAATATTCATATTGTCAAATTTATTTAATGTGAATGTTCACATTACCAAGTTGCTAAGTGTTCAAAAAATATTTATAAAGATAAAATTATCTATAAAATATCTTAAATATGAGAATTAAGATTTGAATGATCAAATGTCCAAAACAATAGGACTTTTTGGAAGACAGAAATATCTTACAGACTAATTAAGATACAAGTATTTGAAAGAGGATTTTCTAATAAATTTCTCAAAAATCTAATTTATTTACTAAACAAATCCTATTTAAAAAAATAAAATAAAATTGAACAATGAAAAGAAATAGAACCCTCACTCCCCTTCATTGTTCAGTTAATATATATATTTTTTTAAGTGAAAAGCATCCCTATTAAATTTTGTTTTTTTATTTATTGAACAAATAAATAATATTTGTGTATATAAATATTTATGAAAATTTTTTAATCCCGGGCAGTTGGGTCGGTTTTATGGATTGAAACTTGTATATTCACCACCCATTAGAAATCTGATTTTTTTTTGAAATTACTAGACCTGCGTCTGTTTGCTCGTTACATTGAAACTGTTTATTTGAGGTAAGGTTAAGTAGGTTAGCTGGATGTTTAACAAGTCCCGAATATACCGCTGTGGCCTAAGATTATAATAGAGTTATTATAGTCTTTATACCATGCATTCCATATCCTATCCATTTCAATATCTCCAAATAAACATAAGATTAAATAAGATTTTTTATTTGGCGTCATCTAAAAAAGACAAAAAGTCGAAAAGTCACTAAAAAAGTAAAAAAAGTCTATACTATTCACAATGTTTGGGTGGGAAAATGGAAGTGAGTACTCAGAGGGCAAAAAGACCTTTTTGCCCTTCACTGACATGCACAGCTCACGGCAATTTAAGGAAAAAAATAAAAAAAATAAAAAGAGTCAAACAATGCATCAGTGTAGCTCAATGCACTGTGAGAGGGGAAGTAACAAGTGCTCAGTGCACTATCAGAAGGGTAGGATCTTAAATTTTATATTTTATACAATATTTTAATACATATATTTTTTTTTATATAAAAAGTCAAAAAGTTATCCCAAATAGAAAAAAATATATGGTAGTTTGAGATAACTTTTTGACTTTTTATAATAAAAAAAATGTGTATAAAATATAAAATTTAAGATCCTACCCTTTTGACAGTGCACTGAGCACTTGTCACTTCCCCTCTCATAGTGCATTGAGTTGCATTGGTGCATTGTTTGACTCCCCTCCCCCTAAATAGCCGTGAGCTATGCATGCCAGTGAAAGGCAAAAATGCCTTTTTGCCCTCTAAATACTCAGTCCCATTTTCTCGCCCAAACATTGTGAACAGAATAGACTTTTTTACTTTTTAGTGACTTTTTAGCTTTTTATTTTTTTTAAGATAATGTCAAACAAACATTAATCTAGTCATTCCAAACAAATATCACCTAAGATTATGGCCAATTTGGACCTATAGTGTATCAAATTAGAAGATGTAACCCTATGTTTGTTTCACATTTTCTAGCCTTTGGTAACAAAAGTAAACTAAAAGAATATTTATTTGAGTGAAAAATATTTTTTACTTTTGAAAGGTAAAAAAACTTTTCAAATTAAATTATCATCAATGTATATCTCCACCTTCTCTACCATCTTTTCTATTACCTCGCGGCCACCACCACCACCACCATCTCACCATCATCGCCACTATCTTACCACCACCCTACAACCATCATCACTACACCACTAGTATATTAGTTTTGAGGTCGCAATCAAATAACGGAAAACATTTTAGAAAAATTGGTGAAGAGTCTATCCCAAATGATGTATAAGGCATTAGATCCTTGGTAAAATCTTGTTTGGTAATAAGGACGCAGCCGTAAAGGTTGCCGAAAAAAGTCGACACTGGTAGTGGCGACAGTAGGAGGTGGTGGTGAGGTAGCGAAATGTATGATATTCAACAGATAGGTTGTTGAATGGGTAACATGTGTCATATTTCAACCGATAATTAGTTTGGCGAATTTCAACAGATAGACAAATAGGTTGATTTCAATTGATAGTTGTGTTTTTGGACAAATTGTATCATTTTAATCCAAAGAGATTAGAGCTTGGGCCTAATAGCCCAAAAGATTCACACTATGGCCCGAGTGCCCAAAGATTTTACACAAAAACCTATAAACTGTTTTCCATTAATAATAGCATTTTTCGTCAAATCAAATGGAACCTAAATATGTGAATTAGTGTTTTCAAAAACCAAATTTAGATACCATTGGGGAAGTTTAAAAAAATAAAAAAATAAAAAAAATAAAAAAGAAGAAGAAAAACAACAACAAAATGTTTGCAGTACCTTTGGTTGATCTAAACTCCATATTGCAATGGAGACTTGTTAGGCAAGTTAGATATTTTTTGTTAGACGACTCCTCTGTAAGGGATAATATTTTCATCTCGGCCTCGTTTGGGAACAAACTAATTTAGTAACTTTTTGACTATTTGGCTAAAATATGAGCTAAAAAAAACTAGTATGTTTGGGATTTTGACTATTTGGCTAAAATATGAGCTAAAAAAAACTAGTATGTTTGGGATGACTTTTTGACTTTTTATGAAAAGATGTGCAAAAAGTAAAGAGAAAAGAGAATCTTTGATTTTTTGGTCTAGGTTGTTGGCTTTTTGGCTTAGTAACTTTTTGACTAAAAGGGAGGGTTCCCAAACGAGACCTTGCACATCTAACAACAATTGTATTCTGTAAACTGAAAAAATATAATTCACAAAGGAAAAAGTCTTCAATTGCCCTCAAAGACCCAACATTCCATATTGAAGGGAATATTGCAAGCCTTTGAGGACAGTCGGAAACTTCACCGATCAATCTAACTATATAACAAATGTTTTGTAGATTTCTTTCACACTTGTCTTACAATGTTGAAGCTGTCACTGGATTTCTATGGAGATGGTTTCCCTCTACTTGTGTTGGAAAAACCTTATCAAATCCGACCTGCATCACCATCACACATTATTCTATGTTATCTCATCGGAATAATAATCAAAGTCTGGCCATGAAAGACTTTGCTGATAGGAAAATTCTATAGTTATGAATAATATTATTTCCAAACTCAAAAATTGCTTTTGAGTTTTTTTTTTTATTATTTCCAAACTCAAAAATTGCTTTTGAGGTTTTTTTTTTTTTTTTGAAGTTTTTTAATGAACATTTTTATATTTTAGTCAATTCGTTAAAAACTTTTTAGTAAAGAAACAAGGATATTTTTTTTTTGTTCGTCTTTGGTGACTTTTTTTTAAAAGATTTTTTCACAAAAAAATTTATTTTAGAAGCATTAGGTGCATCTAAAAGGTTTTTATTTTTTATTTTTTTAATGACTAAAACATGAAGGGAAAAAAAAAACTCAAAAAGAATTTTTAAAAATTACACCAAACAAGTTGTTGGGTGTTGGATTATGAACTGAAGTGATCTTGGCTTTGTGATGCATTGTTTATAAATTAAAGTGGCCTTAGTTATGAGATTTTTTTGATATTTTAAGTGCATCTCATATGTACCTTTTGTAAGGACGTTTAGTAATATTCACTTTGCCTGGTTCCTCTTTTCTAAAAACACTTCTCAATAAATTCTACTTTTTTATTTTCTGTGTTTTTATTGTATTTTTTGAATATTTTAAGTAATTTT